GCTTACTCTTACGTAACTCCTAGGAGCAAGAATTCATCTGGCCGCCCATATGGCCAGGTTCATGCGTATCAAGACCTCAGGTGTTAAGGACAGGTATCACGTAGTGATCTTGTATCCACTCGCTCGTCCACCTACCCGTATACAACTCACACCATAGCTCGATTCTCCACTCATCCCCTCACCGCCAGTTTTGAAGGTACGTGCTTGCTCCCTTCCTACTCATGAGGATGTCACCCGCTCGATCGCACGCCGGTTAACAGGTAGGTCTCCAACACCACGGCCGGCCTCATGCCAATTCCATTGATACTGTGAGCCAACTCGAACGAATCTTCCACTAGGTTGCGGCCAGATACATTCGCACTTGTAAAACTATCCTCCCCCCCTCGCGCAGCTCCTATTTCCCCCACTATCAAATCCACCCCCTTACCGCTCAATCCATCCTCACCATCGCACTCGCAGTGTATCAAAACCTCTAAAACCAACCTTCTGTCGCTCAGTTTCATTTAGAAACGAGCGAGATATGCATTTCTCGCCCCTCACCTCTTTTTTTGCTCCCGCCATCGCTCGCGCACTAACTTTCCCCACTAACTCCTCCTCTACTTATTTTCCACCAATTCTAACTTCGTTGTCTGATTCGCCCCACTTTAAAACCCCGATTTCCATTCTTACCCCACTCGATTCCATAGGGGATCGAGTGCGATATCGCTCCCCTTCGTTCTCCCTCCGACACTCCGCCATAGCCTTCGCGCACCACTCTCTCCTCCTACCACCCAACCTCTTAACTTTCGCTCCGATCTGACTCCGCAACTGTGCTCGCTGACCCAAAGAACCCCCGTAGCCTCCCTTCACTCGCCTACTTTCGCAAAGAATAGTGCGAGCTATCTAACAATGACCGCGCCCATCCCGTCGCCCGCCATGGCCACCTCTGTTGTTTCTCTTGTTACATGTACCCGACGCAAAATCGCGCCAGGTTCTTCGCCCGTCACTAGCCCTGCGTGGTGCCCACTGTTCCGCCCCGTCGAGCTAGCGCAGTTGCGTTAAGCCATACCCCGATGCGAACCCCGGGGGCGAGTGTGGCCGATATTAGTAGTAGAACGATACCCCCGAAGGTCGAAGCCGACTAAGAAACGTGCAGCAGCTTACCCCCCACTCCGTGTGCATCTGGCATCAACCCCCGTCCTGATTCACTCCCTTCTTTTGCACGTCCACTCGGCGCAGCCTCCTGCCTCGTCCTGCCCGTCTTCTCTCTCGCGCTCGAGCCAATCGAGAGCCCCACTGTCGCCTTCTTCGTTCTCCTCGCGTCTCAGCCAATGCGGCTAGCGCACTACGGTTTGACCAGCACGGAAGTCGGTCCGAACGGAAATAGAGCATGGTAAACAAAAAAAAGAAAAACGGCCTTCCGGATTTATGTGAGTCATCCTTGTTCAGGGGCCATGCTAATCTCCTCTGCTTCTCTCGCATCCTCTCTTGGCCCGACTCCTCTTCCAGATTCATGCGCATAACTTTAACATTCCCAGGCCCTGCGGCCCGACAGGTACTCGAGTGCCAAGGAGCAAAAGGCGTCCGACTGTCGGGCCTCCTCCTGGTATGAGAGTATCCCCCTCAGGCAGGGCCAAACTAATCTATCCTGTATCGTTCCAATTTTAATGGATGTCCCGAAGGACGGACGCCAAGGCCGCGGGATCAAGCAGTCCCGGCCCCCAGGCAATTCAGAATATTGGGTTTGGCTCATCAAGTTCCATCGTCTAGATTCGGATAGCGGTCTGTATCCCTCAGTTTATGGGTGTACCCACTGAGCTAAGCTCTCGGGTCCCGTACCACCCACGACACCGCGTCCCAAGGCAAAACAGGGGGCGGCTCCGGTGCAGCCACGAAAACAGTTTGTAATTGCACTTCAGGCGACCCCGCAAATACAACATGCCCCACGTGAGCCGGCGTTGGGCCCAATATCGCGCCCCAGAACAGGACGCAAGTAAGACAAAAATAGATTTAAAAGATGAAAATAGTAAAAGTGGAACGGGGAAATCAACGGGCGGCCCTACAGATCGTACCTATTGACAAAACCAGAAGGGGACTGCCCCGTCGGGCCCTCAAACCCTGGGTCTCCTCCACGCCGCTCTGCTGCCGCCGCGTCGATGCAGTCGGCCTCGATCCCCGAACCTCCGTAGCAGTAACCCAGTATCGCAACCTATAGGGCTATGCCCAAACTCGAGACCTATATCCGCGGAGAGCCATACGAGGCGGTGCGGCGCCTACACCCAGGACCAAGGAAATTGGCCTGAGCCTCATCTCTGCCTACAACCGTGCGCGCGCCCGCCCAATGTCTGCGTCGGCTTACTAAACTGTACCACGACCGCCACTCGCGCCACTCCACGTGCCAAACCTACAGCAGTCACACTGTCGCTGCCGTCGCCGCCGCCGAGGTCGTCCTCCGCAAGCATGCGTATTTCAGTCAGTCGTACCAACCAGGAAGAAATACCCTTAAATCCTAACGTAGTCAGAAAAAAAAATAAAAAATAAAAAAAAATAAATAAATAAAGACAAAAATAGGGACAAACCGACCGGCGTCTGCGCCGGCTTTATAATCAACGATAGAATCACGCGCGCCTCAAGCCTGCGAGCCCACGCACTCTTTACTTTATTCAACCACCTAATCGACGTAAATTGCAGATCTACTCGCGCTTAGCGAGGTATGCCTAAACTTTAAACCAACTATTTTCTGTTGCTTGCAAAAAAACAGGGCGGATACCCTTGTAAGGGTATTCGCTCCGACATCTTACCGGACCATATCAAGCGACGTCCCCGTCGCTTCGCAAGATAAAAAACTATCAATTCAACCACAATCCCAAAAGTGCTGACAAGCAGGGTACCAATCCGATTTACTGACAGACCCAAGGTTGAGGCCTCCAATAATTCATGCCAAACACAACCTTATGCTGCCAGGATTCCAACCCGGGTCTCTGCCATCCTGACGCTCAGACGTCGGGGTACTCCTCACTGTACTACAACATAAGTTTCATTGGATCTATTACTGTCATCTTCCCTGTGCCCTAGACAACCGCTGGCTCCTTGTTGTATGCCCCCAACCCTTCCCATGGAACCGAGGTCTGACTAGGTGCGCGGGCCCTAACCGAGACCTTTGAAGGCATTTTCTCGCCTATCTAAAAACTTCACATTAAGCACATATAAATATACCGTATAAATCCCCACATAAACCTCCCTGTAGTCTAGTATAGGAAGACTAGGTCTCTATCTTGCCCCACCATAGTCTGGGTGACCATTCCAGATCTATGGCCCACCGCATTGTTATTTCAGCGGTAGTGTCTTCGCGGGTTGACCCCTAGCTGGGTCTCTTATAAATGTCCAAGATTAGCACAAGTGGCCGGACGGTGTGTCGCAGCAATACAAGCCTACTGCGGGACTACGCATAGACATGTCGCACACAAAGGTATTTACCAGTCCCTCTGTGGGACAACACAGAGGAAGCACGACAACCTCTCCACAGTCACAAAACAAAACGACCGCCCGGTTCACAAGGTCGTGACCTCCCAGCTTGATCAGAGCAAGAAGGTCACACATCTTGATGACATTTCTTAAAGCACACCATTTTGCGACATCCAAGAATTCGACCAATAGTCAAACAAAGTCTGGTCCCTCTCGTCAGTCTTTTATTACTCAAAGTCAGCCTTCCACTTATCAATCTTATTAACCACATTATTTATAGAGGAGGTCTTACTTTAATAGGTCTCTCAGTCATCCCTCTCTCGCTAGGATGAACTCTCTCGCGACTTTCTCTTTAACACATCTTTCCTCTCTGAAGATGCGTATTCCAAATAGATAATGGACAACCTTTCCATTCACAGGTGTCCCACTCATCATATGATCCCTATAAAAAGACCAACTTGTGGGCCTTCTGCACAACTTAACAGCAAAGCATCTTCACAAAACAGACTGCGCTTCCTCTCCTTATACTCGGCCCTATCACCTGCCCAGGGGCAGATCGCACGAGTATACCAACGAGTAGACAGTTCACATTCATCCAAATTTATAAGGTACAAGATACATCAATTATTTTCTCGCGCATATTTCACACCAAACCATTATCCATCATGCCAAGTTCACACGAGTGAGTGTGAGAGCGATCGTCATACACAGCAAGTAGTCCCCAACAAAGGGTCTCGATATAGTATACACTCAGGGATAAAATATCCCGTACAAAAAGGTCTCCACACTGCGACTCACTGAACTCACTCAAATCCACTTTCACCCATGTATCCTCCTGAAAGTACAAGTTGGGTCTGTCTCTCGAAGATCAGGGTGTAGGCCACCTAGGTATGCACACGCTTCATCTATCATGTCCTGGTCCTCAAGATGGCAGATTCAACAAAAACCCAACCCAAACTGCCCGATAAAAGCAAACAACACCTAGGTCTACAGGATGTCATCCAATCCTAACTCTAGTCCTATACGCAACATGTCAACCATATAGGTAACTCAGTCCTGGTCGCTCATATCCTCCAAGTTTTGCCTATATAGCAAAGCCCTACCCCCGTGTACCGATCTCTCCACTCTCCTGCCCTGTCTATCATACATCCTACCTCCCTCCTCTGTAACCTTCCCTTCAGCCTTGTCCTTTAAGAACTTAGGACATTGCAAGGTTCGATGCCGCTCCTTTGTACAAAAGAAGCAGGAGGTATCGAACCACTTTGTGGACCTTTTCTTTCCTCTCTTAGACTTCGGCGATGATGGTGCTTCGCTGGCCTCCCTGCTTAGCTCATGGCTCTAAGGCATATCCAAATGTTCCTCTCCTGTCTCCACCTCCTAGGTACTCGGCCCTGGTCGATCCTCAATCTCCTTTGGCCCGTACTCAGGCGTGCCCAACCTCTGGAGCCCCCTCTCGATGACACCCTCTATCTCAATCCCCATCTCTCTCTCAAGAGGCTCCTCTATCCTCTGCTTTGGCCAAAACAAACTCGCCTCCTCCTGCATAGTATGCACTGCCTCAAGAAGCACGCCCATGGTCCCCTCTGCTTAGCCCTGAGCTGGCTCACTGCTGGATGGTGGTAACCTCTCCTCATCTTCTAAAGGCATGACTTAAGCCGCCGCTGCTATAGGTAATGTCGTGAGCTCAGTAGGGACTCTGAACTCGAAGGCCTCTCTTTCTGCCTCCCTCTTGGCTCTCGTCGCCTCTGGCTCCAGGATAACTCTCCCCATAGGTGGCTCATGGCGAGGCTCTGCTACAGATGGTTGTCCTGGCAGCCCATGTCCTGGCTGCCTCCGCTTTCCCTGTCGGCTACTCTCTGGCTTGTCCACCTTTCCTTGAGATTGTTGCCTCAGGGTCTCGATGATAGCTGCCTGACTGACCACCAATGCCCTGAGTTCCTGGGTTTCCACCTTCATAGCCTCCAGGCGTACTCCATGGCATTCTTCCTTCATCTTCTTCCCTGCCAGATCACTCACCAATAATATATGCCGGTCAAAAGTCATTATGGCCAGGAACTTGATTTTGCGATCCAACCTTTCCTCCGCCTTCCTTGCTACCCCAAACCCCACTCTGGTTGGCGAAGGAAGCTCCTCTCCTCTCTGCTCCCAAAAGTCCCTCCACATCTCTGGGATCTCCGGGGCCTTAGCTGGCTTGCTGGGTGGGTGAACCAGGAGTGCGCTTGCTGCCTCCAATCTCTGCCTTTCCTGCTGCTGCTCCGGAAGTGCCCCCGCCGCCTCCAACCTCTGCCTGTCTTGCCATATTTCTTTTATCCTCTCGGTTCTTCTCGCCCATTTTTCTTCCGCCGTCTCTCCAGTTGGCGCCCTTTCCCTCGTGCGGAGGTCGACCCTCTTCGGGATCTCTACCTCAACCTCCTTCTCGGGCTGGCACGGCTCCTGGCGCGGCTCTGCAGGTGCTGGCTCCTCCAGGTCTGGGTGCTCCAAGGCATGAGCTGCTAGGTGCCTGTCAATCAGGGTCAAGGCTTCTCTCCTTACAGCTGCCTTCTTTTTCCTTCTTTCTGCCCTCGTCTCTGGCGAAGGAGCCTTTCCTGATAAAGGCAATGGGGCCTCTTCTCTCTGCAACTCCTCTCCTGCCTGGCGCGTGCTCCCTGGTGCATCCCCCAGTCTCAAGCCCACTGCTGGCGTCTGAGGGGGCGTGTCCTCTCCAACCTCTATCACTTCCTTCCCTACATGTCTCCCCTCATCGCCCAGCCCCCTCTCTCGCTGAGTATCCCGGACCTCCTCTCGTGGCATCTCCTCACGTGGTGCCACACATGTGGCACCTCCTCTCGTGGTACCTCCTCTGCCTGTCCTTCACGCTCCTCGCCTTGAGGCGACGCTCCCCATCGAGAGACGTCCGGATGCGCCTCCAACTCTCTCAAAGGCCCCTCAGATGTCGACGCCTCCTCCTGTGTGCGCAGTGGCGACCTCCTCGATCCACCCTCGGTAAAACGATGGAACTCCACTGGTCCCAGCCCACATTAGGATAAGCCTCTTGCTTCCCTGCCTCTGGCTCCGGCTCCTCCTCTCTCCTAGCTAGGGCCTTTCGTCCTCCTCGCGACAGGCTCGCCTCCCTAGGCTCAGGGTCCCTCTGCCTCTGACTCCTCTGACGCCTCTCAATTCTGGGCTGAGGGAGCTTTGGCAGTCGAAAGGTCTCTCTCAAATGTGCCCTGCAGCTCTCCCAGTCCCGGGCCATGTCTCTGACCTGCCTAGCCAGTGGCCTCTCCGCCTTTCTTGTCCAGAGGGGTAACGTCCTCGCCCACTCATCTCTTGGCGTACCCTGCCCCTGCATGAACCACTCGAAAGCAGGGATAAAGTCTGCCGCATTTCCGATCTCTAGGCGGATCGGCCTGCCATCTGGTCCCACAGGCGAGGGTCGCAGCTCCTGCATCCTCAACTCCGCCTCCGACCTCGCCGTCGCCACCCTACGGATCCGCGCGACAGGCTCCTCGAATCTGCCGACTCCCCTCAGTCTCTCAATCGCTTGGGCCACGGTCCAGCCCATACGCCTCGCGAGCTCCTAGAAACTGTCCAGGAATAGCTCGATGTCCCCATTATCGTACACCGGAGTACTCTCTCGATGGCGAGGTCCATGCCGCTCATATCCTCCTGATGCGCCCAACGGCCTCCGAGGCGGCCGTGTCCCCTTCCCTCTTCTTGGCATGACTGTCTTCGTAAAGTCAGACCTGCACAACAGGCAAAGGAGACAACAAGCACACATTGGGGTAAACAAACAGGTGATAACCAAAGCAAGCTCAGACCAGACCACACTCATGCAGCATACGTCCTATCTGACCTATACACCCTATCGCTCTTATTCTAAAGGCAGTCAGATCATCTTTCTTTCCTCTTCTCTCGCCACAAATTTCTTCAATCGCGTTCCAAATACCCAATCCTTCCACTCAGTCTCATTCAGCTTCTCAATCTGATACGCTCCGAAGTCTCCAACCCGTACGATCCGGTAAAGACCTAACCACCTCTTATCGAGCTTCCTGGACCATTGCTTTTCCAACGATGAATCGTACAAGAGTACAATGTCCCCGACTGACAAAGGTACTTTCCTCACCCGCGCAGACTGATCCCATCGAGCCTTATCATCCATGCGGCTTCTCGCCACCTGATCGGACGCCTCCTGGATCCTTTCCTCTATCGCTCCTACCTGTCGCGCCCGAATGTCGTGCAGTTCCTCAAAGGACAAGTTGACTTCCAGATCCTGGCGCCTCCAAGTCTTGAGAAAGCTTTCAATAGGGAAGGTGGTGTGCCTTCCGTACCACAAAGTCGCCGGCGCATACTTGGTGGATCTTTTTACTGTAATGTTCTCGACGAAGAGAGTTGCCCTCAGATACCTTGGCCACTGATTAGGTCTACCCTCGGTCTATTTAGCCAGGAGGTTCGTAATGGTACTATGTCCTCTTTCTACCGGAGCGTTCGCCTGGGGGTGCGCGACCGTGGTGTAGTTACCTACTAAACCATACCTTGATAGCAACTCCTGCACCTCCTCGCAGGTAAACTTCGATTCCCTGTCTATTAGGAATTCCCTGACGAAAGGATAATGCAGCTATTACTCCTCGATGCAGCTAACCAAGACTGAATCAGTCTTGGTACGAATGGCACGTCCATCTACGAAGCCAGACAGATTATCGCGCGCATCGAAGATGTAGTTATAGCACTAATCCCCAAGCGGCAAGAAAAGCAGGTCGAGATGCACTACAACCCCCACTTCTCGCTCTAGCCTTGGATGCAGCGGCTCTCCTCGCGTTAAACGGGATCTTTCCTGGTAGGGTACGCAAGATCGGCAGAACTTCCCGATCATGTCCATCATCCCATCCCAGTAGTACAGCTCACTTATTTTGGCATATGTGGCATGTACCCCTCGATGCCCTCCTGCAATGTCGTCATGAAGCACTGCTATGACGTCAATCTGACGGTTCCTACCGCAGACGACTCTCCTGGGATTCCCCACTTCCCTTCTCACGAAAAGGTGGCCGTCTCGCACTAAGTAGCGCTGCAGCATCCTCTGAGCCCTATCGCTCGCATCCGTTAGCCGCATATCACAAGACAAAAGAAGCCCCAGCTCTAGGTAGATCCTGTCATACTCCTCTGCACGAAAGGCCTCCTTAATCTTTTCCTCCTCGAATTCGTCGTCCTGGCTGTCGGGCACTTCGTCCACATTCTCTGCCGGGTTCAAGGAGCCTGACTGGTTGAGGCTTTCCTGCAATAATGTGTTCACGAGGAGATACATTCCTCCCATCAAATCCTCATGCTGTTCTACGTGGCCTAGTCCTTCCTCGATTGTCCTCATGTCCTCCACCAGACTATGCGAACTGGCCAGCGCCAACTCTATCATCCACTGAACATCCTTACCACCCCAGGGATCCTCTTCTTCAAAGGGTTTGAGGACTAGCTCGGCCCTCCGTTCATACCCACTCGGCGCTTGCCAGATTGGATAGCCTATATAGTCGGGCACTCGCGGCGACCATTTGTTAATATGGAGATGAACATCTTCCTCTTGATCCAGAAATCCATCATCTGGGGGCGTATTCTCCACCGCCTCCCCTTCCTGTTTATCCCAGTTGATCCGACTTAGTCCGTCTGCCCGGTTCCTACTGCCAGGAATTCGCTCCAACTCGAAGTTAAACATCTTGATGTACGTCAGCCATCTGGCAACCGTCGGATCCGATGGAACGTAACTCCTTAGAGAGTAGGTCAGGGCGGTTGGGTCCACTCTCAAAATAAACCTCCTGCCGAAGATGTAGTTTCGGAAGATCCGCAGACAGTAGAGGACTGCAAGAGTCTCCCTCTTGAACTGAGAGTAGTTCCTCTCGGTTGTACAGAGAGTCCGGCTCTCAAATCTCAAGGGTCTTTCCTTTCCTTGTATGTCTGCCTGAATTTGAACTTCCCCTAAGGCAGTCGGCCCCACATCCGTTTCGACAATAAAGGGTGGCGTCTCCATGGCATCATAATCTGGCGCTCCTAACACCAACCCTCCTTCTCGAAATTCCTCCTTCATTCTGGCCATCACCTCTTCTTGCTCTTCAACCCAAACCCATTCCTGATCCTGACGAACTAACTTCCTCAGGTGTTCAGTCTTAGCGGCAAAGTTCTTGACGAAGGCCCTCCAAAATCCACACGTACCAAGGAATCTCCTGACATCAGTTATTGAGTGGAAAGGAACTGGTCACTCAGTAATCTTTTCCGTCTTCTTCACATCCGGCCTTCGGCCCTTCTCGCTGCAGACGAACCCCAAGATAGTCGCTTCCCTTATGCAGCGTGTGGATTTGGCCCCGCTCGCCGTGAGGTTATACTCCTCGAGGAGGCTCAGGACCTTTTCGAGGTCCTGGATGTGCTCCCAAACAAAACGCCTTACCCCAGGCGAGACTTTGTCGCTCTCCTTCACTGCCGGCCCCTTCACCGCCAAATCGTCGATGTATGGTTGCGTGATATGGGGGCTGACTGACTGCATAGCCTGAATCATGGCCTGTTGGACCATTGCTACCGCGTTGGTCCACCCCTGTGGAGCCACGTTCATGTGGATTAGTCCTCGAGGGGTGTGCATAGCCGTCACTGGCCTGTCCGGCGGGTAGCCTGGAAAATTATCATATCCTGAGTAAAGGTCTATAAGTGAGATTATAGGCCTTCCAGCACAGGATTCCGACAGCGTGTCCGCATTGGGCAATCCTCCAGCATCCCGCACGGTCACCTCATTCAGCCTCTGCAAGTCCTGCACCCACCGCAGCGTCCCGTTAGGCTTGATGAAGCAGAACCACGGGGATGCATACGGTCCACTCGAATAGTCGGCGACGTGCGTAAGTATCTTGCCGTCGAGGTAATCCACCACCTTCTTTTCCTCGTTAGGATTAGGATATCGCGCCCCTCTCATGTTCCAAGGCTCGTGTGGCACGGTGTGGATGCGGATTATAGGTATTTTGTCCACATCCAGCCTGCCACGCTCCTCGTCACTAAACGCATAGGCGCGATGCCTCCTCTTCATCAACTTCACCATCAATGTTCGTTCCTGAGGCAGCAGGAAGTCGGGTTCTCCTATAATCAACTTCTCCTCATTCCCTTCGTTGATACGGCATGGTCCTGCTAGAGCACTCTGCTTCATTCGCCGTATCAACCCTCGTTCCCTCTCGTAGTATGCTTCCTCGTCTTCCATAACGAGGACGGGAACCTGGCGGCACTTCTTGTCTACCGTCTTGTACCGCCTTTGGGAACCCTGCTTGAGCCGTCTCCTAAAAAAGGTCGGCTCACAGATTGCGCTTGCACTGATGCGGGGTTCCTCCCGCTGTCCAGAAGACGATATACCAACTCCGGTCTTCCTCCCTCGGGGCATTCCAGAACTTGCTCCCTCAAGGCCAGGATGGCATCCGGATCTGCCATTTCATACGCGGCCACCAAGTTCATGGCTTTCTCGACATCCGACAGGCTGAGGGAAAATGCTTCCACCCTCTCTCCTGCTTCGGGCTCTGCCCGGAGCCTCCGGCGCTCACCTTCCGACTCTTCGATTGTGAACGATCCTGGATTGGGCCGGTTCCTTATACTCCTTGGCCCTGTGTTTCTGCAGGTAATTATTTCGTAATTCCCGCAGGCAGGGTCGCATAGGTGGAGAATTAACGTTCCGTCATGCTTATTAAATATCACTGTCTCCGTCCTGCTTAGGAATGACCTCCCAGGAGGATCTCATGATCCACGGCCGACATGATGAAGAAGCAAGTCCGGGCCTTCACCTTTCCAACCTCGATGAGTACATTCGAGGCTGTCCCACAAAATGCGGCCTTGCAGCTGGCTCCGTGCAGAATACCGCAGTCAGAACGGTCTATATCCAGCCCGAATCTGATCGCGTCCGCCTCCCGAATAATGTTCATCTCCGCCCCAGTGTCCACCATTGCTGCGCACTTGGAACCCTTTACCACCAAATCCACCGTGCCGCAGGCTACGAACTTCCAGTCCATCTTCGTTCCCGACTCCGCCCACTCAGCCTCCTTGGGCAGGATCGTACCCAGATGGACATTCGGCACTAGGCGCCGCGACAACCTCCCCTTCAATTCATCACGGAGCCGCGGGGCCGACGCTAGGATTTCCTTCAGGGTCATGAAATCGTTATGCCCTTCCAGCAGCCGGTCGATTACTCTCTCTACATCAAATCCTTATTCCAACTGAACCGCGTATTTCTTCTTCTTAGGCGTTCCGTCACGTATGACCGGTTCGACCTCTTCCCTGGTTCCCTTTTTCCTTGCCCGCTGCTCCGCTCTCTGATCCTCTTCTTGGTGCAGCCTCTCGTCTTCTTCCTCTTCATCATCGTCATCCTCCAGTTCCACGGCCTCTTTCCTTTTTCCCGGTTCCGGCTCTTTCCTCGGAGGCTCTTGGCTAGCACTGACCTGGGCTTGACTTCTCGTTCGTACTGCCTGCACCAGCCGGGCCTGCGGGGTGAGGGGTCTCCCCATCACTCCCGATTGTGGGCCCGATCCCACCACATTTACTCCAGGTCGCCCAGGCGCTGACTGCGGGCCGGAGTCGTACAAAAATACCTTGGGGATGCTGGACTTCCATTCCCTCACTTTCTCACAGAGGTCTACCAACTTTTGTTGGTACCTTCCCACCTTATCCAGTAGGTCCTTCATCTTCTCTAGTAAGACGAACGGCGATTTCATCCTTGTCTCCTCGTCCTCGTCATCCGATTCAATAATTATGGGTTTTTCCCTCTTACTTCCTCCACGTGGTCCTAGAGTTACTTCCTCGTCACTCCCCACTTTTTGTACCTCAATCGGTGGTTCTTCCTTTTCTTGCCATAACCTGAATTCTTCTATCCCCACCGATGGTCCTTTCTTCTCCTGCCACAGTCTGAATGTGGCAGAAGGTAGCGGCCCGGCTGCTGCCCTTCGTTGGGCTTCCGCTCTCACTCCCTCGAGCCTTCTGTTAATGAACTCCCCAAACTGATCGTAAAAATTCTCGTCCATAGTGGAGGAAATCATCCCGCTCTTCTCGTCTTCCCGCCTTATGTTACAAAACCTTATAGTGTGGCCTTGCTGGTCACAATGTTGGCAGATGGCTGACCTCCAGTCAAAACGGGGCCTTCCGTATCCCTGACTTCCCTGATCCCCTTGGCCTTGGCTCCCTTGGCCTTGATACCCTTGGCCTTGGTTCCCCCGGCCTTGACCATTCCACTGTCCTGCCCGTCCGCCGCCATTCCTGCCTCTCCCCCTTCCTCCGCCCCTTTCTCCGTTGCCTTGGTTGCCCTGCCCCTGGTTCCCACCTCCAGCCACACTTCCTTGTGAACTGGGAGCGGGCGACGGTGGCGGGGCCATAGGCTGGGCCTGGGCTGCGGGGTAGATGGGTGGCGGCATACTCATTTATGGCCCGGTTACTGGCGGCGGGCTGCCCCATGGTACAATTGCATTGATCACCGGCCAGGGTCATTGTCTATAGAAAGGTGCCCCTCCTTGCGAAGGGCCCGTACTAGATGATGGAGCTGGCACGTTTGGAGGAGCCGCTACGAGGGCCTGGGCCGCCAACCCTTTTTTTGACCTCTGTCCGCCCTGCACCAAGTTACGCAATTTGCGATGGGCTTTCGTCAGGTGCTGCGGCACCGGCTCTTCCTCTTCCCAGAGCTCTTCCTCAACGGCCTATTCCACCACTGGCTCCTTTCCTTTCACCTGGACGACCATCGCTACCCTTCTCTGCACCACCGGCTCTGTCGCATATCCCAGCTGCACGAGTATGTCCGTGACAATCCTTTTTACTCCCAGGGTCCCAGAAGCGGTCGCATCTCTCTCCTTTCTCTTCTGCCTTCGCAGGCGTACTTGACGTTGCTCCACCTAGTCCAAACATCCAACTTTCACCCCTCTGTCAATAGTGGTCCAGGTGAGCTTGGTGCTACTGCCTCCATGTCTTGTCAGCTCGACGGCGTCCGATGCCGTGAGTAGCCCCAAGAAGATAGCGCACTATGCCTCCTCAAAAATCCCATGGACCTTTCGCGCCCTCTTTTTTGAATTCCTGAACAAAGGCCCCTATCGTCATAAAATCCTCTTTGTTTATTGCCTCAAGGTCTGCGGTGGTCAACAATCCATCTCCCAAGCGATACTTCCTCTGCATTCCGTCCTTGAACCTTGAGCCGCATCTATAACTTTCTTCACTTCCTGGTGGTAGCTGTGGAGGACATACTCGAGAATGCGTTGAAACTTTACAACATCCGACCGCCCGACCAAAGCTTGTTCCACCCGCTCCAGCCATTCTGAGACTCTCGCTCCACAAAAATGGAACGTATCGATCTTAGGGATATTGCTCGGGTTCCTTTTATGCCGATCAATGGCTGCGATGAGGTCATCGAGCGTCACGCCCTTCTTGGGAGCACCCGATGCGCCGCCGTCCTGCAACATATTGCCAGACCTTTCTCTTCAAGCTCCTTCACAAGAGAAAAACAAGCACACCCCCTTATTCAGCATTACACCTTGACCGGTCTATTTCATCCGTCCTACCTAGCCCTTACTACATACTTTATCCAATGCTAACACGATCGTCTCTCATACTTCCCCTAACTCAGGTAGGTAAACTTCCTCACTTATACTTAGTCATTCATTATTTTTCCTTACCTTCTCGTCATTTCCTTTTTGCCTTTTTTCATTCACTTCTCATACCCGGATGTCGTTCCACCAGGGACAACGGTAGGCTTTCCATTATCCCCGGCAACGGCGTCACCTGTCGTGCGCATCGGTCCGACACCGCACCAGGGCAGCGCGGGACCCTCCTGGCCGCGTCACGCAGGAGTTGGTATAAATCCTTCGTCGCAAATAATATATGTGGAGCTTTCTTAAGCCGCTCCGGCCAAGTGCGCCATCCATACTTCTCGCGAGCCCCTACGACAGGATAGGGCCTACGGGAGGCACGACTTACCTACACCTTACGGGAGCTGTCACCTCCCTTCGGTGGACGTATCCCCGCCGAGCTACCAGTCCACAGTACGAGAGTTGATCAGTTGCAGTCGCAGAGGTGGACCAGCCGAGGGCGTTTCTCGTTCGCTGTAGCATAGGGGGTACGTGCGGTAATGCGCCTTTATCGGACCCGCACAAGAACCGGCATCATGGGGGGGCTGAAGTCCCAAGCACGGCTTGTCGTCGAACGACTAGGACGCATCCCACTTACCACGCGCACACCACTCTAACAATCACAAGACAATAACACACACACACACACGAAATGACATAACGCAATCAACGCGACAACGCTCCTAGCCCCTCGGTAGCCAACCCATAATTCTCTGATGCGGAAATCGGATAAGCATCGCGTGCGGGACTTGATATAAAACTGATCGGACGTAGGGCCAAACTCATATTGACTCATAATGCAAACGCTCACAAGCGATTGCAATGATGGCGTACCATGTGGTACCCATACTTATGCGGTCCTCGTTCATCTCGAGGGTCACATTCGACACTCAAGTGTCGGCTGACACGCGCCTTGAGGGTTAATCGCTCGAAGTTGGACAACCACAATGCGTGGTTAAAGACCACACACCCTCTTCTGTATCCTTATGCGGAGTGGGTGGTACACAGGTTTTATACCTGTGGTGGTAGTCGTCTCTCGTCGCCCTAGGGGTAAGTCCTCTCTGGGCCTGGGCGAAAGTCAAGGGGTTTGACTTTGACGGCTGCCACGGACTACAACGTCCAACCATAAAAAATCTCTAAAAAGCAAAGGATAAGGAATAAGTCGACGGTTCCCCTGCCTAGCAAATAAAATCATAGCCTTGGGGTACCCTCCCCTTTTTCGCGCGGTCTCGGCGGCCTATAGTAGTCCCGAACATTCGTTCGTATGTGCCGGTCCCTTTTGATCCCATAACTTTTACAGACTACTAGGGCGACGGAATGTCGCGCACAGGATTTTGATATAAGGCCACGCAGCTGCGGGCTTATCTCATACCAACCAACAATGCCAACCCTATGTGCTAATCGCGGCTCCGGCCTCGCAATATTGAATGGCTGAAGGAATATATCGTGAGGGGCTACCCCACACGATATTCAACGGCTGAAGGACACGCCGTTTGACCCTCGCGGCGCTTCTGCCCTCAGGGTAGGGTGCCTTGATGAGCAAAGCAAATAGGTTCTGCGCGAGGGAAAATCCCTCCCCTGCAGAGCCTAGGGCTTGGGATGTCCTCGACAAGGACCTTGAATCCCGACCCAGGACCAACGTACGACTAAGAAAATCCTCAAGAGGCAAAACAAAAAGGAAGGGTCTTCCTTGGGCTTCTCAGTCTTAACTTCTGAGTATGCCTTTTGCACAGGGCCCTTTAGCTCATGCAGACATTCACCCTAAGTACACCCATGTATATATATATATATATATATAAAGGGGGAAGTATGCGACGATCACTTCTCACAGT